AAACATTGGTTTATAGTTTTTTTTGTTTATTGTATTTTGCCAACACTTGCAATACGAACATAAATTGAGTATATTTTACACTACAGAGAGTAATGGTGTTTACTATGAGAGACCCCTTCTTCCTCACAACTGGTTCTCATTTAATTCTCGTTTAGTTTAAGGTTTTGATCGAAAACCTCTTGAAATTTGTTTTGAGAAAAATACTCATTTAGAGAATGCCTTAATTACACGACAATTCCTGTCAGTGGAAACTCTAACCCCCGAAACCACAGACTTTCAATATGTTATGAATTGCGAAATACATTACAATTTGAGAGATATTCTGTCACTTATTATATGGATTCTACAGTCAAATAATGATAGAGTATTTCGAAATGGTTTCCAACTTAGAGTCGATTTACAGCACAGAGTAAGCCCTGACATGACTGGGAACGGGTCGGGAAGGGCTGGACAAGGATACAGAGTATTGGCTTTGTATTAAATAAAGCTATTCTCACAACTAATTGCTTTTCAAATTCAGACCAAACATAGCAAAAGAAAATCATTGTATTTAATGGTCCGTTAGATTAGAGGAGTATTTAATGTAGATTTAGTTGCGAACAACTAATTGTCGGTTAATTATAATGATTAGTGTACAGTATTTTTGTGAAGTGTGAATATAGTGAACCAAATACAGTGCAGCGTATAATACATAATGCGGTAATAATAATAAAAATGATAAAAAGTCGGTTCTGTTGCCAGCATTGGATGTGTTATTGAGTGTTGGGAATGGACTGACGTATGGATTGTTGGCTACTTTGATCTCAAGGAGAACTTGATATACCACTTGTTATTGTGATTGGGAAGCAGAGGGCCTGACATACGAGAGTACGCTTTTTTGCAGCCAAAATGGCAGCTAATGGCGGTCCACGCCCTCTGATATCTTGTGGTGGGTCTCTCTTGTGCTGCTCTTTATGCAAACACGACAACGCCATAGAGAGGGTCCTTCTTATGTGTCTTCAATGCTGTTTGGTTTTGGTGTTAGAAATACCAGTTATGATAGCGTTTTGATATGTGGTGTAAGACTTGTCTTACCGGCAAAATGCATGCAATGTTATTCTCGAGGTCAACCTGTTTGCCGGCTTCGGCCTTCCTCTCAGCCCTAACATCGCAGCTGTTTGTGGTCTCAAAGTCATCCCAAAACCCACTGATTGTGTTTTTGTTGCTAACATTTTCTCTATTAAGCATTACTTCCACAAAATGATAATTCATTGAAAAAGCTATTAATATCACAATTTGTTTGGCTGTCCTTCAATTGAACGCTACTTAAAACTAGCGTTTCATACACAGAATCACAGCTAAAAGTGCCCAAACATTTCTTTTAAACGCCATCCCTATTGGCTAACACTTACACTATTATTACCGGTATTTTGAATTATACATAAAAATAAAACATTTATATTACAATCGCTTAACTATTATTAATCAAAATTTTAATTATCACATCTAAATAATACATCAACTCATACCTTGACTTCATGGTCAGTGTATGTATGGTATATATGTATGTATATTCGGTACTCAATTCCACGGCCTAATACTACACCCAAGCATTAACTACCAAAACAGTTATTCAAATATATTACTCAATTATTCTCACCCATCAATTCAATCACACATTTCTCTCTCAATAACACAATCTCTAGTTTCTAATAGCTATCGATTGGCAAATATTGGACCGATTATAACGCTTATAGCAATCTCTAAATGCATATAATGTGTAAAATAGCTGTGAATTTGGTTATATCTCAATACAAATGAACTTAACATTAGAATTAATGTCAATATTATTTTAGCTGCAAATCGTGTGTCTCTCTATTCTTCTATTTAAATGTATTTATATATCAATAATAGCAAACATTATATTTTAAAACCAAAAACAGTCATTCACTTTGCAATAGTACTGAATAACTAGTATTTTATTTAATTATTTATTAGTTAAACGAAAAGAATTAAGAATTGTATGAAAATTCGTTGAATTCTGTATCGATTATAATATATGAATCTGAAACCTAATATCACATACACTGTGTGTTTATATACCATGTTTTAAGATGAATAAAAATTGATTGTTATTTAACTTTCCTTATAATGACTTTATTATTATAAGAGCTTTTCGTCAATTTTTTGTCTATTTTCTGACGCATTCGTTGTGTATATAAATGCAGATGTTTTGATATGTACAGCAATTTTTCATATATATATATTAATACCATATATAAGTTTGTCTAAAGTTATTCACATTTCGTTTTTACGTACATTTCATGTATTGATTGTTTTGCAAATGTATGGAAGGAATGCATAGAAACAGCTGAGTGTCAGCAGAAATTATAGTCTTATTTCTCTGTCAATCTGTTTTGTATTTTAGTATTTGTTTCAACAAAAAACCAGAATCGAGTCGATTGAATGTCAGTGTGTGTTGTGTTTGCCATAACCTAACCGTCCATTTATTTGGATTCACATAAAAGAGTTTAGCAAATAATATACAATACATATAAAAACTTATATCTGATATCGACTGATGACTCAATTTATGCACAAATTAAAGCCAAAATCCAATGTATGAATGACTGAATGAATGAATAAATAACGAGTTTATTGTCGAACACATCACTAAAGAGGAAGAGTAGGAAATAGAGAAGAGCGAGAAGAAGAAGTCATCGCCGACAGAGAGAGAGAGAGAGAGAGAGAGAGAGACTGAGAGAGAATCAGCTGACATTATGTTCATTCTTTTCCTGCTTCTTCTCATTCAATCTCAATATACTATTCACTCGACTCTACGGTTGGAAACATTTTATTGATCACAACTATTCCCAAAATAATCTCCTATTTTGTCACTCCTTTGGCACAGCATTTGCGCAAACATTGCTCTAATGGTTGCTCTCTTTCCTCCCAGTATTCCTTGCATTTACGGCACTATTTCTTTGCGTGCATTTTGCAAACAAATACAAGACAATCGGCTATTTTTTGTATTCCTTATTCATTTGTGTCTATTTTCACAAATGCTTTTTTGATGTATTTCTTACACTTTTATCCGATTTATAATTCTGTCATTTTTTTCTGCACGAAATTCTCTGTCATTTTCTGTCGATTTGTTTATCGATATAATTGCCAATTGTTGTCAATTATTGGCTGTTTATAATTAAAAACCGCAATCCTTTTAGTCATTGACACACAACACACGTATCGATACATGTTATCTATTATGCGTTTTCATTCAAAATTATCTATTGTTTGATTGTAGCAAAAGATTGGCACAAAAAACAAATCAAATCACGAATATTTAGAATTAATTTTATCATAAAATCATTGATGGATTGATGAAAGTGTTTTGTCAGAATTTTTTATTTTAAACGTAATGTTTAGTTTGTTTAACGATGACATAAAGCAGGGAAAATGTAGTGATATTTACGCCATACCTCTGATAAGTATATAATTGATTGTTTTAAAAGTATTGATAGGCTTTTGAGATTAAGAATTAAGAAATGCAGTAATTATTTATTTCAATTTGAATTTTATTGATTATACAGTGATGTGTGTGTTGTGTGTATTGTAATTATATTTTTATTTGGTTTGGTTTAGTATTGCATTATTGATCTGTTTTAGTGATATATATACAAAGTAAAGATCCATTGGGTTTGCGTTGAATACGAGGACTGAATAGTAAAACGATTTTGTTATATAATTAGCTGACGGCTATTCCTAACACCGGAGCCCTACACACAAGTGGAGGCATTAAAAAACTATATTCTGCTGATAATCACAATTCTCTGATCATTTGGCAAAAGCGTCGATGATTTTGGTGTTACATAAAGAGAGGGAGAAAATGGGAGAGAAAGAGAGGGCAGAGCATTGATACAGTACTGGTGGCAAAAACTGGTAGTCCGTTAAGAACTAGGAAACTAATAGAACCGGTATATCGTATCGTATATGCCATACCATCCATAGGTTTAGGTGGACTCTCGGTCACAGTCTTTCTGGCGCCTCATAAGTGCCACCAATTAAATACTATCTCAACATTTGGTGAATTCAATCTATTCTCTCAATCCCTTTCCAATCCATTCTCTTCTTCTCATTCTCTCTTCATTAATGAATCGCAGATCTCATTGAAAACAAACACATCCAGTGATATATGCGCTGCGATGCCATCATCTCATCATCTCTCTCACCATATCTTCCCTTTTCTTTCCTTTGGTCTAAGAATTGGAGTTAATCTAAAAGTATATACTTTTTTTGTTTGAGAGCTAAAGATCAACAGCAAAGTACTTAAAGAAACGGAGAAAAAACATTTCAATGAAAGACATTAAATAAACACTAAAATAAAGTTGAGTTTGAGTTAAGAGAAAGTCATGTAATGAATGCAACGATTCAAACAATGCGATGACAATCATGTTGTGTACGGCAAAAAATTCTGTCATTTCATATGACACCCAATGTATTGATATAAATAAAAACACTATACTATATATGCCATCGTTTGCTTACTTCACAATTTCAAGAGACGATTAAAACTAAACCCCAAAAAGATTTATATAAAAAACAAATTCTATATAAAGTAATAGAAAGAATATATTGTGAATAATGACAAAGACTTGTATAATAATAATTCTCGGCTCACGATTCGCACATAAAAAGTGAAGCAATAGTTGTTGTTTCCCTTATTGTCTTTCAATTGATATAAAAGGTATGTTTTTGAAGTGAAAAACAAAGAGTTGCCTTTAACTGAATGTACCGTTTTATTTGTGGTGCGAAATGTCTTATCAAATATATTAATCGTCAGCCGAAGAGCGAGAGAAACGATTAATATATGGCGTCTGTAATACTTGTGGACTATTAGACTCTATTAAAGTATTAGACAATTTGAACGCCAAGTGCTATCAAAATGAGAGTAAGCGTCAAAATACAAGTTTGTTATCGTATCGCGTGTTAACCTCCTATAAGTTTGGAAGAGATTGTCAGTTATGATTGGGTCGGTGTCCTGTGCTGTGCCGTACATCCACTGCACACCCGAAATGCAAAACCCATATTATGGCTTCAATTTAAAGCACAAAACCTTCTCTAATGATATGTCATTACGGCTTAAGCTATGGATATTTAGTGGATATAAAAGCGTAAAAACAGTGCTAATTATGCGATTCATATATTGGTTTATAATGAATAAAAAAAAGTTTGGATACCTTTTTTTATGTTGATGATTTGATGCGACTATAAGTACATCTAATTTGCAAAATTATAAGTTCATTGAATTGCGGAACTCATAGACGACACACCGTTTTGCTAATATATATCTCATTTTTTATTGCATATCCAGTGGTCGAAAGCGAAGACCCAGTAATTCAGAGGACGATGTAATGGACGACTGTATGGCAGCGATGGTTCTGATGAGTCTGTCGTGTAGTCCCAAATCGCCTCGACTTCCTGAGCGTAAACACAATTATTACCGTTTATTATAGATATAGATATAAATAAAAACGAAATACTTGTCATAACTTATAACTAATTGTGTACTTTATATACAAATGGTGTGACAGTAATCATATACAAGTGCACTTGGCCCGGATGTCTTCACCAAAGCGAGCACTGCCAACAAATCGAGAAACATGTCCGCACACAACATCTCGGGTTTGTATTTCATATATAATAATAATAAACATCTCTTTTTGTTACCTATCGTTAAGATTTCCATTTCGATTGTATGTCATATTTACCATAATATAGCTTTAGATGTCTATTACAGTGTTGTATAACTTATACACTAGGAATCGATACTCGTTTAGAAACGATGGGTTAGAGAATAATACGGATCAGTCTGTGGTTGTGTAATGATTGACCGGTTTTAGTGATAAGTGTAATGAGTGTTAGTTTTTCATCAATAAATTTGTTGATGCATTAGAAGTGAATCTCCTTTTTCTTGATGTGAAACATTGATTTTCAAACTAATTAATATTGTTTTTGTGACTTTAAAGGCAATCAGCAATTTGTATCATTCAAAACACGGCATTTTAGTGCTACAGAACATTGTCTCTAGTATTTTAAATCTATTAGTGCTTTCCTGTGCTCTTGTTTTGTGTTATTAATGATTTTCTTTATTTATTGATTTTTGCCATTATTTGTTGGAAAAAAAACTCTTTAAGTTATCTTTTTATTTGACTTTTATTTCTACATTTATTGTGTTTACAAATGATAACAATCGGAGTGTAAGAGAGCATTGGATGTGTCGGTGTATGTGTTAGTGTGTGGTATATGTTAACAGACACTTCCAAATGACACTTTTAGTTAGAAGTATTCAGAATTGAATGCATTTTAATGAAGAATAATTATTTCAATAAAAAATTTATTCAATTTCCTCTCATTTCGTATAAATTTTTGGAATTTATTATCATTTCAATTAGAGATGTCTTATATTTTTTAAATAAATCATCTGTTGATTACAATAATGGCTGTAATATTTCTATGCAATCAATTTCGGATAGAATTTGTCTCAATCGGGGCTCAAATTCTCAATTAAGTTATTATTTTTCACGAATTCACGCAATGGTTAGGGAAGTGAAGGGAGAGATAGCGTACAGTAATGAGTGTTCAGTAATTAGAGTTTACAAGAGATTAGTAATTATTTATTGACGGAACGGATATATACTGTCATATAATGTCATAACTAATGGATTATTGAATTGTTTTGTGTTTCTGTAGTCGAAGTGATCTCAACGACGAGAGCAGCGATCGAGAGGAAGAGTTTTACTACACAGAGATCGAAATCGATGAGAACTCTGTGGGCTCGTCGTCGTCCAACTCGTCATCATCTCATTCAGTCCCACAATCGCCGTCGATCTCCAACGACGGCAGTCAGACCGGCAGCCAAAGTCCCACTCCATCGCCGCAAACGCACATATTCTTCGCCCAGTCGTCGTCGGCGCCGACGTTCAGTCACTTAGAGGATCACGAATACGAGCGAAGGCAACGCAACTCGGATTTGGATCACAAGATCATACAATTCAATAATGATCTAAATTCTTTGAATGGCATTCATATTAATGTCAGTAATAATAATAACATTAAAGCCAACAATAATACCAATCAAACGAATGTTAATCATAACAATAACGGCACTAATACTAACGTAACGCTTAAAAGCAAACAAAAGTCATTGCTGTCGACCACTCCGATCAACATTCCGGGCATATCTCCGCTCTCGACGGGCTATAGACCACATCTACATCAATATGCAACCAGTGCTCCACCGGTTTCGCTGCAATCGCCGCGCGTTAACCATAAATACATGCGACTCAACAGCAATAATAATCGAGTCTCTAATGCCATCAATGGTCTGAATGGTCTGACAATCGGCACAACAATACTCCAGTCGTCGCCCAATAAAAACTCGCCCTCAAAGCGAGGCCGAGGCGAGAGTCGTAAGTGTAGGAAAGTGTATGGTATGGACAACAGGGACTCGTGGTGTACACAATGCAAGTGGAAGAAGGCGTGCACCAGATTCACCGAATGATCCCTTCACTGACCACCGCATCCATCCAACGCCCTTCCCTTTCCTCCTACACAACAGATACACACCATCTCTAAAATTCATTGTCAATTCAATACCATTCGCACAGAGCTATACATTTTGCGGTTTATTATTAGCGATCGTTACAACTGTGAGTCAAAAACCAGATTTTTCTCATAAAAACCACATTAAGATACTATTTAAATATTTGATGCAAACATACAGTTATGTTATATTCATATAATATATATTTTTTTGTTATTCAATGTATTATTAAATAAACAATTGGTACCATTTTTCGATGATTTTTGTCGCCATATATTATATAATAATTTTGAAATCATTTAATGAATATAACGATTATTTTATTGTATGAGAAATAATCGCTAATTATATCCCAATTGTCAAGACTTACTGTATTGTACGATAAAATCTAAAATGTATTAACAAAAAAGTGTGTAGACTATAGTCATTACAGTATATGACACTCCAATACCGGATCCCATTCTCAATCAATCAATTCTCTGTTTTTTGACACAAACAAAAAAACAATGAATTATTTGTCATTAACTTTAATTTAAAAAAATAGCTTTTAAATTGTTTTAAAATATTTTATTTCCGGTTTTCAAATGAAATATACGTAAAGTTCGCTAAATTCTCGACAGAATTAAATCAAAAACAATATATACATAAGTCTATTGTATATATATTAATACAGAATTTAATATTTATGTAAATTTAATGCGAGTATTATATAATGAATCGCAACAAAACATATATAAAAACTCATTTAATATAAGTTTTTGACGGAATTAATGGATTACAACTGAATTATAATGAAAACTATTTGGCCATTACTTCAATACCAAATGTTGTGTATATATATTATATTTGAGTCAAAAACTCGCAGAATATTATATATATGTTACAAATGAATGAATACTTTACAACAATTGAAGAAAACACACGATTATTGTGGAAATTAACAATAAAACTATAGTATACTATACTATACTCTAATGTATATTCCGTGTATTGATTGACGCAAACGAATGTCAAATATATGTATAGTTTTCTCAAAGTTATACACAATTATGAACAATAAATACATTATAATTTGAACATTAAAAATATGATACAATTTACGATTATATTTAATAATGAAAAACAGATTAATTATTATTATATATACATGAGAATTATATATATATAAATATATTAATTAAAAATTTTATTTTCTCATTTAATTACAAAAAACGAAACAAATGTTATAGAATATTGTAATCTATTTAAAAGCCCCTAAATTCGCACACATTATAATTAATGTTAATATTGATGTCGTTATTGAATTCAATTAATTAATTCAAACAAATCTGTTTGTTATGTCTTGTATTACATGAGAAACCAAAACATAACTATTTTTGAAACACAAACTTCTAATGAGTTGTGTTTTATTTGAGATACGAATAGAATATTCTTTAGGCCTATAAATGGAGAAATAATATGAGAAACAGTTTCTCATTAAATAAGATATAATGACAAACAAAGCATTTGGTCTTCAAAAACACCAAAACGCTTCTCACTCTCAATAATAAGCAGTTATTGTCTCTCTTTTTCATTTCAGATCACTTTTTCGTATCTCTATGTCATAAATATATGTAATCTTCAAAGAGTTGTCTGTATTTTGCTATCAATTGTTTGTCTTCTTTTCTTTTTTCCTCTACTTTACAACCAATGAAACGAATGAATGCTTTTCTAAATTAATTTAATTTAATGTAATTCTCCAACGATTGGCGATTGAGTTAATGCTAAACAGAATTTGAAAAAGTCTAACATTTTATTTACTATACAAATCATTAGAATATTTCTCAGACATTAATAATACGTTAAAAATTCTATATTGTACTTTAAGTCAATAATTAAATATTGCTGTGAAATGTTGTCATCAAATAAAATATTTGATAAATATATTAAAGACATTCAAAAAGATAACACAAAACATAGAAAGAGAGAGAGAGAGAGAGAGAGAGAGAGAGAGAGAGAGAGAGAGAGAGAGA